CGAGGGGATCGAAGGAGATTACCTTAAGGGAGGGGTTGGCTTCGAAATCCACGGTCAAATACTTCGGATTTGCAAGATTTGAGAAGGATTTGAGAGAGGGGAGAGGGGAAGAGAGGAGGGGCACAAGACTAAGGGTTTGTGTGGGGTGGGGTGTGTGGGGTGGGGGTGGGATGGGAGAGAGGGTGGGGCCAGCCTAAGTGGAACACAGACTGTGCAACGCCCAAGAGCTAGGCGCTGCACATTACAAGTGTGGCGCCTAAGTCTGAGGCGCTGCAGTGCTGTCTATGGGGCCACAACTGGACCAGGGCTGCCACGCTGGCACGAGGTGCGACGCCCAAGAGAGAGGCGCTGCATAGTAGTGTGTGGCGCCCAGCTGTCGGCCGCCACACGAAAGGGTCAGCAGAGTGAATTTTTTTCGGAACGAGGTCAGTTTGTGATTTGATTTGGACCTCAGGTCAAATATGTGATTTCTGCCCAAATAAACATGCAATCTTAGCACTGTATCTAGCACATCTCATGTCATTGTACTGCAGCCACGAGGACCTGCCACTATAGAGCAACTGCTCATCTGCCCATCATCGAGGTTCTCCAGGCCGTGCTCGTTTTGCTCGCCATCGTAGTAGTCCTCGATGCAGTCCACATCCCTCTCACGGGCATCGCAGAAGTAGCGACCATTGCCGTAGAGGATAAACTGGAGCAAGTGTGCGCTGGGGAATTCTAGTTCGCCATAGTGCAAACCAATCGTTGCGCCTGACACCGAGGCCGGCATGGTTGTGGCGCAACGTCTTGAGCAGGCGGAGTTTGTGTGCCGCGCTCCCCTTGCGTGCCCAGAGCACCACCAGCCGCAGCAGCCGCAACATCAATCAACAGCCGAAATAGTATGTCAGAAGGAAGGCAGCGTTGACATTGTTCAGATAATGCACACAAAACTGACTCAATTATGGAGCAGTAAACACACCAGTAGCAGCGTGATTTGGCGGTTTATGATCTACCAAGTATAGAAAAAATATATTTCAATACTATAAGCATGCATTCATTCGAAAAAAAAAGATTATTTGGAACTAAAAGGAACAGAAAGGTGGGCATGCTTCTAGTCCGTCGGTTAGCAATCTGAACAATCATGAAAATGAGGAGATGTGGAGAGGTGAATGAACTAAACTCCACTTGATGCACTGTAAAAAAAGCATCTGAGCAAAAAGGCACTTGCAGAGACACAGAAAACAGCCTACAGAAGAATTACAACAGAGAAACATAAAACTTATGCTGATTCAGTAATTAAAAAATTTGGCGGACCATGGTAATAATTCAAGAAACTATACTACTTCCATCGTCTGCTTGTCCTATGATAAATTAATAGATTTGTAGAACATGAAGGTACATCCAGGTATAAGCTGATGGCCGGATGGATTAAAAAATCCTCAGTGAAACATTTAAGTATCCGAACAACGGAGGTAACAAACCTAACGGAACTATAAGTGATAATTCTTCAGTTGTCTACGGCACCACATATTTATTTTAAGAAGGGCACTGTCCACCAAATTAACAACACACCTCGTTCTTTGTATATGCGTTAGCATCACATACCTTCTTGAGCATCACACATCTTGGGTTGGCATAGCTAGAGAAATCCTCTTCTCCTAAACATCGCCGAAATCTCTCTCAACTTCTCTCCTCTAATCTCCCTGATTCATCCCGGTAGCATCAGCTAGCCCAACACTTCCTTTCCTACCTCTCTCTTCTTCACACAGCCACCCCAACCATAGTTGCTCGACCTGCCACCCAGCGTCTCCCTTCACCTGTACCTAGGGCTCCTCTGCATCTCGCCACCCTAGCCAAACAACATTTCAAAAAATGTTGTTTGGGTTAGAAAAATGTAATGATATGGCAAAAATGACTCAATAATGATTGTAAGCAGTGCCTTATATCCTCATTGGATAAGATAAGCATTACAGTACTATATACCATTCTTATTAAACATTGCAGGAGACAGAGCCCAAATAACGTAATCTGTATTAAACAGATATAGGTACAAAATTGATCTCTGCAAATATCATATCATATCATTTCCAAGAAAAAAAACAGATGTGATTTTTAAGAGAATTTACCTTAAGGTTGATTAATGAAAACACGACAAGAGAAGAGCTAAAGATTAATTTAATTAACCTCTATGTCAGCTCCAAGCAATCATGTTATATGGGTTAGCCCGTTTGTCGCACCGATACCTGAAGTTCTCATAGAAAGTCTGCAAAGGTGAAAGATTGGATGATTACGAAGTTGCAATGGTTTGAACATTAAGAGTTTTAAAACAAGAGAAAAGGAGGAAAGGGAAGTCACCTGATTGTTGCTCTTTAGGTAGAAATGAAAGACAAAAAGACCATGGTGCACTAATGTGAAAACAAATACTGATGTAAATGAGCAAGGCTCGAAAGTGGCTTGCTGACATATCTGAAGTCTGAACACAAAGATGATGCAACATATATCATAATTATATGTAACCGAAAATCAGAAATTCGGTAGTATCTGAAACTAAATTTAAAATAATATCAACCAAACCAGTTCATCAAGGTTCGATACATATATACAATCATAGACTCAATACTTATGTTATGACACATTTATTTTGAAATTTACTTATAATAAAACTGAAAAGCATATTAATTGCTGCTGCTACATGATTCCCTTTTGAACTGGAACAGGGGCCTATTATTCGAAAATAAATCAGTAGTCTAAATAAGGGAAGCCATCGAGTATTGAGAGGTACTCACCATACCATAGTTTACTTATTATAAAGCTGAACATCGATTAAGTGAAGAGAAAGACTAAACAGATGATTCACGAACAATGACAAACTACCTGCTCACTTAATAGCAACCTGTGAAAAAAAAGCACATGTCAGCACAAAGAGGAGAAGCAGCACATCCTAAGCAAAAATTAACATCCAGCGCAATCAAAATCACCTCCATGGCAGCCATCAGGAGACGGAGCAAAGAGGAAGATGAACTAAGAGTGACCTCCATCCTTGGCTGCCTCCCAGACGACGACGTTGGTTCCTGCTCCCTGCAATGCGCAGAATTCAGCAAGACGCCGAAAGCAATCAACAGACGGCTAAAATCACATTTTACCTGATTCCAACATACATAAAAAAACGTACAATTTCTTTTAGCAATTCATCAAACGATTGGTGTGCACAACCACAACTGGACACATAGAATCTCTGAAGATGTCAAGACAGTCAGCTTCTGCCACCTGAGAGGGATTTCACTGCCCCGAGCTCGAGCTTACGTGAGAGAGGGAGGTAGGCAGTGGGGAGTGGGGTAGAGGTGCAGATTAAAACATGAAGGAAAGGAAGTGGAGACGATGGCTCATATATACGGCTTGCCGTCGCCGGAATCATGGCCGGACGCCGCATGGTCCCAATAGCCCCCGCCGGGGCACCCAACGTCGTGGTGGCTATCCGAGCCTGGGACTCCATATCGGCGTTGTCGCACGCGCGGACGGGAGGGCTGGCCCCACGAGACAGAGATGCGCCGCCGCTGCTCTTCCTTTTCTTGCCGCTCCCATCACCGTCACGCGCTGCAACCTGCAAGAGCCTTGTTTGTCCCGCGGCGCCTCCCCCGTGTGTGCTGAGACAAGACCGGGAAGGAATGGGAAGGGGTTGAGGGATCAGACTCACCTCAGATCCTGGCATCCATCCCTGTGGCGGCGCCTGTAGCAGATCACAAATCAAAACCGTCGCCGCCGCCTTCTCCTCCCACCCAATCTTCCCTCGAGAAGTCGAGATACATGGCTGGTGGCGTGCTTGCAGTCGTGTCCCCTCTTGCTTCTCCTACGCCCCACCTTCTCCTTCTCTTGCGCCCTACCTTCCTAGCCGCTGACCGCTGCTCTGCTGCCTCCTCCCGATGGCCAGGAATGGGAACGACCAGAGGTTGCGTGTTTTGGAAGAGGAAGGGGGAAAGATTGGGGGCTCGAGGCAACTTCCTGTCTCTGTCTCTTCCTTTCTTCTCGATAAAGCAAACGAGAAGTGCGGACCGTCGCTTCAATTGGCCATCGCAAACAGTCACACCCTGCCGACGTGGACACCGCGAGGCTCTGCCCTTGATGCACACCTTATTGTTTTGGATTACAAATCTTGTGCATCGTGCTGGTCTGTTACAGTATACTTACTGTATGTAGTGATTTGTATGGTCCTGTCGCTAACAAGGATGATTGTTTCGCTTGTAGCACAACAACGGGGTGGTGGCGCAGTTGGCTAGCGCGTAGGTCTCATAGCTGAACCGTGAGTTATCCTGAGGTCGAGAGTTCGAGCCTCTCTCACCCCACCTAGAAAAAGGCACCATCGTTGTGACGAAAACGCTCAGTGGCAACTTGGGTCGCCGCAGATATCTGAATATCAGATGAATACGAGCAAATCTGAACATGGTGTTACTTTTTTTCTTTCCACCGGGAATTTGGCAAAGAGACAGCAGAGCAGAGTATTTCTCACACTTGTATGTGTGCATGAGTGAACTTGGCTATGAACTTAAACAGAACTGAGTCAAGCTTCTCTCTAAACATCATTCATCACCACAATCCACGTGCTTGACATTTTTCATCTACAGATTATTTGCTGGAAGCGTTGCTTGATCTGCACCAGAATTGGGCGCTTACAACGCAACAGCCAGATGACAAGGTTAAAATTCAGATCAATTGCAAACCGAATTGAAGGCAACACCCTTGGAGCAAATTCTTTTCTCGACGCGACATGATAAAAGGAGAAACTGAAAACCGAATCAGCATGAATTTGCAGTGAAGCTAAATCATTTCTTATTCAGCAGAGAGAGACAAAGAGTAGGAGTTGACCAGCTAGATCAGCCCCCAGTGCTCTCCAATCCTTCCTTCCTACCTACACACATAAGACACTTATTACGGATCGAGCAAGCAAGCAACCATGGAGATCGATCTACACATAACAGTATCAGCCAGCGTTTCTACAGGGCTAAGCTTGAAGTCAGCTTCCATTTTCACTTCTTCCCCGTGGCAGCAGCAGACTGGAGGCCGCTCCAGTCGATCCCGCCCGCGATCCGCAGCGCTCTCTCCCGCCAATCTTCTGCCGTGTTCTTCGATTCTCTGATCAGAACATGTCACAGCAGACACACTGGTCACTTATATATAGCAGCACTTACTCTGATGTTAAAACAAAAATTAAACAAACAGAAAAAGGATGAACATAGTATATAGCTTACCTCTCTTGGGTCAATTTCTCAATATCTTGCCTCGTTAGTCTCGGGCCTTCATCCAAGCCCTCGCACAGCAATTCACCAGTCTCATCAGTGTAACAGAGGATGCCCATGTTTTTGTCCTCATAAACCTGGGAAAATAAAAATATGGTTTTTCCTTCAGATTACCAAAAACAGCGGTGTTACATGCTAACATAGTTACATCATCATCACCATTATATTTGACATGCCATAGCTTTTGGCAAGAACAGGTACCTTGTTCACCTTGCAGGTGAAGCTGACCGAACTAGAAGCTCGTCGCCTGGATTCGGAACTGGAGCAGCCATCCATGGAAGCTCTTGCACAAATCTTCCTCCTTGGGACTATGATTGCAGCAGTAGAAGAGTAGCACCTCAAGGCAGCCATGGCTGAGCTTTGAGGCGTGGAACCACACAACTACTGATCATGGAGCACATGTCATGTAAATGGCCATTAGTGGGGTAGTGGTGGATGCAGTTTTAAATAGGGATGTTAGGTCAACCAAGCTGTGGCAAAGCAGATGATTGGTTGTGCTGTTAAGATTAAGTTCAGCTGATTACCTTTAAAATTAATTGGCAAGCAAATTCCTTTTCTAACTCTTGTAGCATTATTGGACAAAATATTCAGGTCATGACTCATGACAGTGACTTCCAAATTGCTTCCCACCAAGTTTCCCCACCTCGGTTTTTACAGCACACAGAATCAGATTTAAAATTGATAAGTTTTTTATTTTTTGCAAAGGATAAGTTTTAGATTAACTTCAGAATGATACAAAGGAAAAACTCAATTGTTCCAGACATAAATCATGTAACTGACAGTTTACAAAGCTCATGTTTTTTCTGTCCGGACTTCTAAAGTTGTGCTACAGATAAAATAAGCTGGCGACTTTTAATCACGAAATTCTTCCATGAAAGCTTTGTGGAACGCCTTAAAGCGATAGATTATCAGTTGTACTTTCTCCTCCTGTTGCAGGATTGTGCATCTGAAATGCCATGCGCCAGGTACCTTCATTCAGAGTATAAACAAAGAAACGAACATAATATTAGAATACCAACACGAAGATCTCTCTGCAAAGACATGACATGCACTCCACATCCATAGACCAGATAATAATCTTGAATGAAAAAGATCAAATATAAATTCCTATATTTGTTTATCGTCAGTCAGTTCCAGACACAAGTACTCCCTCCGTTCACTATTATAAGATGTTCTAACTTTTTTTTCCTAAATTGGATGTATGTAGACATGTTTTAGTGTGTTTGTTCACTCATTTTCATTTCAGTCCGTATCTAGTCCATACAGAAATATCCAAAAATATATATAATAGTGAACGGATGGAGTACATCAAAGTGAGTAAGTGCATCACACTCACTTGTCCAAACACAGAACCAGGCAAGACGACGATGCCAGTGTTTTCAAGAAGGCGGAGAGCGTAGAACACATCTGGCTTGGCGTTCATTGCCTCAGCAGCCGCAATCGCCCTTTTAGGCAGCCGAACAGATGGAAATACAAACATTGCCCCTTCAGCCTTGCTGCAAGTCAGGCCTTCCAGGCTGTTGAATGCCTGCACCATGGCCTAAATAAAACCAGTCCAAGAATGTGACATTCAGATATAATGATATTTTTGCATGTAACAGAATCAGCAATGAAGATAATCATGGAAGTGGATGTGACAAAAGGGAACCTCTGCACATCGGGATAACGATAACATAATGCGATCTCTTTCTTCCCGGTAAGAGGTGTATGACTCATCTCCAACCTGACAAAGGGAGGCTTACTAAAACGTATATAGAAATGCAAAGACACGATGAGATGCATATTTACTGACCTTTGGTGGGTTCATGACTAGGCTCACGAGAACCTGGCCGGCTAAGTTGGAGCATGAGCTTAGGGATGCCACTTTGTATACTTGTTTCCGAACTTCAGAATTGAAGCCAGTGACCTCCATGTAACCCCCTCTTCTCCCACATTCTCCATAGTATCCTGATGGAGAAGACGATACTTCTAACAAATATCAATCCATTCGATGGAGAACTTGTGGTGTACATATGACACTTCACCCCCGGTAGTTCAGAACTTCAGATTACTTGGAACTTTGGAAATAGGAACAGATGATGATACGCCACACTCGGTTTGATATACAAGAAATACAGTATGCAAGACACTCCTTATTAAGCAAAGGGAGGAAAAGACAGTGCCTAGAAAGCCAATAGACAAAGAGTACATGGTGTGCTAGATGGAGAAAAAAGTCATTAGAATAACATTACCAAGTAACGGGTTCAAATTCGAATATACAAATTACTACATTACCAATGTTCGAGAAAAAAAATAGTCATTACATTAGTATGATTCTATTCTATTAACATAACCAATATGCAAATCTGCTTTTACAAGAACTTTTTTATGTTGGCTTTACTCGATGAGTCGAAAATCCAATGTTTAAAGAAATCTTTCTCATGAGTGCACCTAACAACATACTTCCCCTTCTCATTTTTATAGGAAGTAACAAGAGAGCCGCGTATAACTGAGAATAAACATGGATAAAAGGAAGAACTAAATGTCATATACCATTAGAAACTGAATGGAATGATATTAAAGAAATATCTTCTTCACCAAAACCCATGGACCGTGCTATCTTCTTGAAAGAGATAAATTTCTTTTCATCTGTGTAAACATTTTCTTGGTAAACCTACCAGTAAGTTCAAGAAAAGATACAGCGGGTTACATACACAAAATTCAAGGAAATTATATAGATTCTTATAAAGAAAGATACAAAAACCTCACCTCATCTGCTAGAAGAACAAGGTTTTCATTCCTGCAGAATTCCACTATTTCACACTGGTTTTCCTTCACAAGAACCTATGTACAATTTAACCACATTAAGACCTGCGCAAGAATATATGAATTACACAAGTCGATGATCAGTAAATACACCTGCCCAGTAGGATTGCCTGGATTTACAACCACAAGTCCCCTAACAGTGATGCCTTCAGATCGGGCACCATCCAGCTGCTTCTTCAGGTTCGAAATACTCACGGCCCAACCTCCTGATTCGTCAAGGTAATATGGTACCTGAGAAAGCAGATATCATCTTGCTTACTGCAGATTAACAACCAGTAAAATCGAGTTGACATGGATTCAATTCGATCCAGTAATGAAGTACATACAAGAGTTGCGCCACACAGAGCCATTGAGCTTGTATAAAGGAAGTGTGATGGAATCGGGCAAAGGATGCCATCTTTTTCATCTCGTATCAACAGGTGCATTACCATATGAACCTGTTTGTAAATCAAACAAACAACTCGATTGGCAAGAATCATATCTGAAAGGAAGGAAAGGGGGAGATAAAAACAGCTTTCATCTTGGATGTTTAGTGACATTGCTCATGTTATCATGGCTTTAAATCAATCATATATTAGTGATAAGAACAGGGTTCGTAAAAAAATAGTGCTAATTACTAAAGTGCAAAAGGGACTTCCACAAAGTAGTTTGACAGCGTATGAGATATACTCCCTCCGTCCGGGTTTATTAGGCCTCTCAGCATCACAAGCATGTCCCCTTTTATAAGGCCCCGCATTGGAAAGGTGCATGCATGCAACCATTTCATTGGTTGTATTGAAAGCTATTGTTGTTGGTGCCATGGCTGAAAAGTTAATACACTTCATGTGTGCTTTTTCATTGGCTGCATGCATGTGAGAGAGTGCATTGGGAGTGGAATGGAATAATTAATGTGAGCAAATTACTATGTGTCTTGGTCTAAGAGAAGTTGTCTTTAGGCCTAATAAACCCGGACGGAGGGAGTATCATATAACATTGTCAGGATGCCTAGCAGTAGCAGAGGATCACAATATCTCCAACTATTATTCAGAGTGTTATGCACAAGATGGTGGATGAAGGAATTGCTCCGCATATGGTGGATCAAATAGTACCGGCGCGGCTGCTCCATCTGTCAGGAAAATGTCCTCTGCATTGCATGGGAAAGCATCACGAGTGGCTATTCCAGCAGCAATTGCATTTCGCAACCCTTCAGTACCCTAGAGGTGAAAACTGTCAGATCTCATTTCTGCATTTGTCAAAAGAGGTTCAGGGTTCCTGATCTTGCCTGACAGTGGCTGTATCCTCCCATTGCTCTCCCAGGAATGAGGTCTAGAATCTCCCTTGCCCTTGTTATTGCATCAGAACTGCAACAGCAAAAATCTAGTTGAGCTATCGCTTATGAATCTGAATGCATCTTGCTCATATGCTATGTGGTGTTTATTACCTGAATATGGAACTAGTTACACTGCAGTTTAGAAGATGCGGGTAATCACACAAGGCAAGAACCTGGAAGACAGGGAAGCATCAGAGCATGAAGAAACGAGATTGTTAATAAAAGAGTTCATATGGAGCAAATCACCCACCTCACGGAAGAACTTAATTGGCTGTTGTCCGAGATAATGTGGATTGCTAAGGTTGCAATAGATTATCTACCAGAAGAAATGGAAATATTAACCACAGTAAAAAAAAACGCACTAATAGAAGTAGATGTGGCAAGGCTCTGAATTTGGGGAAAGTTTTAGTGGAAATGATATTCAATTGTTTTTTCAGAAATGTGATGAGATTCACAGGAACATACCTCATTGAAAGGGTATAAACCTGGATTTGTTTCTAGCTCTTTTTGCATGCGCTGGACACCAAGAAAAAGAAGAGAAGATCACTTAATTTGCATGATGTGCCAAGCTCAAGTTACATGCAATTTCAAGTATGTAGACAAGTTTGCAATAATAGGTGCAAAATAGTAAAGTGGCAAAAATGTACCAAGGGAAGTACTCTATGAATAATCATAGTGTGAATGTGTGATTACATTCTGGTGGATCTCACCAAGTCCATGGCTAGTGATAAAGCGAATCAACACAGTGAAAGGAAAGAGACATGGAGCTGTAGCTAATGAGGCTTGTTATACCCTCTCGTAACACCACAGCATGTCAACCTGTCTGTCAAGCTTCTCCTCTTCCAATAAGGGTTTTACTTTTACCAAACCAATCAATCGGTAAACTTGGGGGCAATGTTGTTGTTTCTTCATGTCCCAAAAGGAGATTGGGGTCGTTTGGAATAAAAAACATTTTTGGATAAATTCAAAAATTCATGTCCAAAGTGCAAACATCTGGACTGAGTACTGGTTCTGTCTCATGTACGGCCTCTCAGAGCCTCAGACACAAAAACCGTGGAACGCCAGCTTCCGTTTCTTAAATCTCTTGGAAACTAATTGAGGAAGGTACCTCCGCGCGGCGGGCGACGGCGCCCCCGAGGTGATCCGCGAGCGCCAGCACCTGCAAAACAAACCGGCCACCAGCACTGGACTTAATTAGAAACGCGTGCGGATCGGGCGGCGGCAGAGACCTGCTGCTACCTTTGGGTTCAGAGAGTCGACGGTGAGGGCGCGCGCGGAGGCGGGAGACATCGTCGCTGAGACCCGGGCGACCACGGCGGGCGGGGGAGAGCGGTGGAACCGGGCGGCGGCCCGGGAAGAGGGCACGGGGGGGAGTGGGAGGCAGCTCGGTCGGTCGGTCGATCACGGGGGTGGCAGGTCTGTTTGGTTGGCTGGCCAAGCCACAGTCCAAAGTTGCCTCACGTGTTACGTACAGGCCGCCGCCACCTCGGGAGTCCGGACGTGCCAATAAATCGAGGCTTTTGACCAACTTGTTGGTAAGAAATCCCGGGACCTAGACATTTACTAGTATAACGCCCGTGCGTTGTCACGGGTTCTTTAAAATTTATAATTAGTATTTTTCATTTATCATCCCCTTATATTGGGTGATTATAGAATGCTCTAATTAAAAACACAACAATCAAATATTAAGAAATTTCATCGAACGAACAACAACGAATAATACGATATCTATCAAACGAATAAAATGAGGTCATATTTTTGGTCCATCATGCACTTCTGTAGAAAAGTCCCTATCCCTTTTAGAATCAACCCAGTGTTTGCTCGCACGCAAAAAAATACATCTCTAAAGTGGGGAACCGATCGGTGCTAAAAAGAACTCAAACTCCTATCCAATCTCGACATCGTGCTCTTCCACTTCCATTGATAAAGATGGGACGTCAAGAGTTTCATCATGATGACCTCGAACAACCGCCGACATCCCTCCCCACATCTACCCCTACCCTCTGTTGCCGCTTGCACTGTCCTTGCTCCTCGAGGGAGATAGGGACACAATAATGTTCTCTAGGATGGGCATGACCAGATCCACGAGGAGGCCACATTCTTCCATGGGAACCCAACCAAGCACACCACCCTCCGCAACCATCCAATCCCAGCCTAACAAAGTCAAGACCCGCCATGGATCCACAAATCAGGCTCGCCGCATCCAGGTTCACTGCAAGTCTGCGACGAGTCTATAGTCGACATATTGACTTTGGCTATCCCCACGGAAGAATCATCGGATCCTGCTTACTTTTACCATCACTTCGTCTCTTCCCAAGGCAGCGACACCACCCAGCCAATCACCACCACCGCTTGCGGCTTGCCTACATAAAATCACGAGAAATCCCCACGGTGGTGTTGTAAGATCACCTTGGCAACCTCGACAGTGACCGACTGGTCTAAGATCTAAGCTAGCCGCTCTTTGTAGAAACCAGTAGAAGTAGGCATGTGACTCAGATTTGTTCTTTGGTGTGCATGTGTTTCTTGCTGCCCACCAGCTCTTGTCTACAACTCGCCTATCTCTGTACCAGCTCTTGGTCTACAACTCGCCTATCTCCATGCTCGAGACAACCAAGCTCGATGCGCAAGCCGCATACATCTGCTAGAGCTATATCCAGGCCCTACGATTTTTGGATCACCGGCACTATGGGTGCCAGGACCGGAGTCGCCCTCATCCACCAAGTGGATCAAGGAGGCCCACCACCTAGACTCTACATCGCAACATTTTGTGTTTTCCTATAAAAAGTAAAGAACCTTCTCTAATAAACGTAAATATAACCTTTTGGTTTTATAGTCTCAACTTTCCTACACTCCAATACCGGAAGGATTTCTTGGTTTTATTTAATGACTTTCTTGAATGTCATTCACTTAGAAAGGTAGTAATACAATCTGTGATATTAAGGCAAATTATTAGTCATATTAAAGTGCAAAAGGCTCTATAGGAGTCAAAGCATGACTTTTATGATTCTACTGTAATTTGCAAGATCTGAGATTTATGCAAGTGTACAATTAGAGAAGAGCCAATTAAATAGATTTTCGCATTCAAAATAGTACGATTAGCAGTAGCACTTCAATTTTTTCATGTTTGATCAGCTTGCTAGGTGGTTATCACTAAGCATGTTGGAACGATGAGCATAACCTAACTTTAGTACCTCCTTTTTTTCAAGCTCTGAGACATGCACATTCAGGAATAAGTATGGCTACATACTTTCTATACCTGTGAGCTTCATAAAGGATTTTGAATGTGTGCATCTTGTTCAAGAGATCTAATATGTATATTTAATTAAAAAAATATAAGTTTCCATTAACAATACATATTGATGAAAATTTGGAATTCAGATTAGTCTACAAAGGAGAATTTGTGGTAAAATTACACTAAAAATAGTGAGGCCCTTGGTTGTAGTTTCGATCTTGAGGACATTGCATAGGGAGCTCGGTTTTACAAAAATACATTCATACAGTAGGCTAAGAACCCCGCGAGCAAATGGAAGTGCATCAAATTGAACACACACCTCTTCTTTTAGCATGAGAACACGCCATAGGAAGCCATTGAACATGTCCTTTCGGCCACAGAAACATCTCTGTGCCACCACATTAATGTTTTATAAAAATGCACAAAATCCTATACCATGTCAAAAACCCTAGAAATATCATAAGCAAGTAAACTACAAGTAAGAATTGCTAAAAATCGAGCAGGGGGTGCCTTTCTTGTCGACTATAAGGGTCATGAACATGATGTGCTCAAAGGACACGTCGTCCAGATCGAGGTAGTCCCACTACATATGGCTCAAGTATGATATCAGTATCTTTGTGAAAAATATGCTTAATAGCAATACAAGAAACCATCAACATGATTTTGAACTTATTCCCAAATTATGTAGTAAAAATGTACAGTGTCCCTAGCATAGCTTCACAACACTGTCCATCTCTTTCCTTCCCGCCTTCACCTCTCTGATAACCACCATGCACTTGATAGGCTTTGTTTCTCCCAAACATTAAAGTATATGGGGCCTCATTTTGCTCTCCCACATTCCCTTCTAGCTTGCCCACCCAGCAACCTATTGTGAAGAATTAAGTTCCACCCTGAATATAGATAGTGAGGGGAGAACTTGCAGGCTGTAGCCATGTAACCACTTCAGAAAGGCATTCATCAGACTAAGCCCACCAATAACAATTGTGCCTATCAACTTCGGTGGACGAATTAGTGAATTCAATGACACCTACATTGCCACTGAAATATTGTGACATATTTAATATATTATTTGAAATATTTGATTTTTTTTAGTAAATGAAGTTTGAGTATGTTTTGAACATACAAATTGTTTGGTGGAATCATGCAAAAGGAATTACGGGAATTCAACATAATTACTACACAGAGCATGACACCCATAGCAGTAACATGTGTATAATTTGAGAAAATACGATTTTTCTTAGTTTGATCTTGGTGAGCAGAAACTACAAAATATATATAGTTCACAATTAACCATCAGTTTGGACAAGTGAATGCAAGAGCCAACATAACTCAAGTTTTAGTAAATAAAGTTTGAGTATGTTTTAAACATACAAGTTGTTTGGTGGAATCATGCAAAAGAAATTACGGGAATTCAACATAATTACTACACAGAGCATGACACCCATAGCAGTAGCATGTGTACAATTTGAGAAAATACGATTGTGCTTAGTTTGATCTTGGTGAGCAGAAACTACAAAATATACATAGTTCACAATTAGCCATCAGTCTAGACAAGTAAATGCAAGAGCCAACATAACTTAACATGCATAACTATACCGGAGAAACCAAGTAAATGCACTGAACATCATTCATCAAGCATACAGTTCTTAGTGTGTTGACTTTAATCCGAACATGAATTTAAATAGGATGGAGCCTGAACATTGAACTTAGTAGTGACAATCTATATTATCTTCTCAATGCCAACATATGTCAAGATAATTCTATATATTTGCTGAAACTGAAAGATACTAAAGTGACACATGCTCGAATTTTTAAATCAGATGACTATCAAAAAGAAGCCGCCCAAGAAAAGTAAATAAGCATCAAGTGTTGAAAGAAAATGATGGACCCTAAGGCCATGAACTGATAAAAGAGAGCAGTCAAGCAATGTAGAGTAGTAGGAATCTAATAACAAGACCTTACCTTCATAAAAATAAGGGAAGAACATTTCCTTCATAGCCTTCCTACAAGTACAGAACATACTCAATTAGCATTGTTTCAGTCTCATTTTTTACAAATAAAGAGTGTAATAATTACCACCTATTTCATTTGCCACTAAAATTTCTACCTCTGTCTGACCTCCTGCAGCAAATTCGGGAAAAAAACTCATCACTTACAATATCATAGCTGCACGCTCCAAGTCAAAGTAGAACATATATCAAGGATTCTGTGACAACCAACCATGGCCAGATCAGATGGCTTTTAATTGCATTCCATCTCATAATCCAGAGCCCACTCTATC